AAGACTTTGCGTAAGTCCAGGTAGATGACATCTGTAAACAGGACATATCTAGGACTTGAAAAAATGCATTGAACAGTTTCATAAGACGTGGCTGAGAAATCCTTTTAGGGTGTTGATACTTCATGTATATTGGTACCTGGGGCATTGGGGTATATTTGCACCTCAAAGTAGTCAGAAAAATAAGATGACATTTGTTTAGGTGAGATGATGAATGGCAGAGAGGGGGAGATTCATTGCATTGGAATATAATACAAGGTGGAAGAGATGCTGCAGAGACCCCTGCCAGAAGAACAGCAGACTCCCTGCTGGACCTCTCAGAGTTTGCTCAGATCTGTTGCTGAGGATATAGCTTTCATACACTAAAAGTTAGTGAAATTAGGACAAGTCAGATACTGAGAGCGATCGGGTCTGCTTGGGGAGCTGCTTTTATGTCAGTGATGGGCTCTCAGGAAGACAAATGCAAATGGATACACTCAGGAACCCCCACGAGCAGAGGGAAGATGATATTTTGGAGGACAGTGACTCATCTGAAAGTTGACATGCAGGAGATAGATAGCGAACAGAGTGATCATCCAGCAGCACCAGTCTTGCCTTCTGCCAAAACCTGAAATGCCAGGAATTATGTCTTCCATATTCCAGGCTGGGAATTCCCAGGCAGACATGCCTAGACTGGGAAGGGGATCAAAAACCTCCAGAGCACATCAAAGATTTCTTTTAAATGTGTGAAAGAGATGACTAATCCTTGCACGGGACATTTGTGCTGTGCACAGTGTTGTCTTGGGACTTCCAGAGGGCACTGGAGATCATGGTGGCTTTGCTTTGCACTGGCCAGGCTGGTACTCAAGTCTGAGTCCTGGCCCAGCACCCAGAAAGTTATCGAGGAGCTCAAAGAATGCGTAGAAAACCAGACTCCCATGGAACCGCTAAACAAATTCCACTTGAACGTATATGCAGGAGAAGGTTACCAGGAAATTGGTCAGAGCCTATGGGAAAAAAGGAAATCCTAGGGGAAATGCTTGCAGTAGCTGGGCTTTGTCATCTAAGAAGAGCCAGTGGTTGCAGAGTGACACCAGCCTACAAGCTGGGAGTATTTCTTCTGGGGTGAAGGTGCTTTTTTCCTATACATTAGTGGCAGCTTCTTTTATGGAGGACACATTTCATCCAGGCTTTGCAAACTCCCAAGGCCAAAGAGGTTTCAGCTAACTGTGAAAGAAGAGGGTCCTGACAGTATCCCTGCAATTCACAAACTGGACAAAGTTAGCATCTTCCCCCCCCACACCATCTCCATACCCACCATGGCACTGTGGTGTCCCATTGCCTCTGCGATCCTCCACCAAGCATGAGTCAGCCCAGAACAAGCCGCTGGGGAACAAGAACAGATGCAACAGGAAAAGAGGAGCCAGCTGTGGGTCTCATGTTCAGTGTTTGAGGCTTCAGCCCCAATCCAGCAGAGTGTTGCACCCTGTGGAGTCTCTCCAGGTGCACTTATGTGTGTGCACACACATGCACACACACACAAAGGTGTACGCTTGCCTTGGACCCTCTTCTGAGAGACTTTCCTGTTCCCTCTCCCCTTTCCATCTTCCCAGGCTTACAAACCTGTTAGCAGCCCTTCTGCCTCAGACCTCTAAAGGAGCTCTTTGCGTGCAGTCTTTTGCTCATGATTATTTTTAAAGCATCATTCCTGCCTGTCATCCAGCTACCCAGGAGGAGACTCACCAATCTCAGCTTGCCCAGCCCCCTGAAATAGCCATGAGGGTTATGTACAGGGTCTCCCCACCAGCTCTGGTGCCCCTGATGTGAACCACTGCTTCCACATCTCAGCAGTCTGCTCAAACAGCTCCAGGGTAGGCTTTTCAGAACAGCCATTATCCAGAGCAAAGAGCTGATTTTAAGTGTCAAGAGAAAGGCAGACAAAGGCTCATGAAGACTGATCCTTCCTCTTCAGAGGCCTGTTATTCCCCTCCACATCTCCCTACCTACACTACCTACAAAGACCACGCAGCAAGGTCCTCGTAGAGCTTTCTCCTAATTCTGGCTTCCATCAAAGTAACTTCTACTGAAAGTGAGTCCTAGCTGCAAAATCCAAGGGATTTCTGGAGAAAAACAGTTGTGGGAGGACATGGAAGCAAAATCATTCTTGGGCGCATGTGAACACTTGTAATGTTTTCATAGAAAAAATAAAGAAGTCTGAGCAGCACCCAGGAGTGTCCTTGTGTGCCACACTAAGTACCATGAGTACCATGGTTGGAAAACTACTTGTAACAGGGATGCAGTATTTCAAACTAAGGCACAAGCTGCAGTTAAGACACTTTTTAAACTTCCAGGTGAAGTCAATAGACCCTGTGGGGTTGTGGTGTAGGTTATCCTGGCTCCTCTACTCAGAGGAAAGTGGGAACAGAGCAGGAGCTGCAGAACAGCGAGCCTTGAAGCTGCCTTAGGCTCAGCTTTATCAGTGGATCCCATGGGGGAACATGGCTGTGAACAATCTCAGGACCACAAGCTCCCATCTTTTTCCAGATGTCTGCTTCTCCCATCAGCCTAGCTGGAGTGTTTCCATGATCTGTAGGCTGTAGCTGGTTAACCTTGGTGCCTGTCGTGTGGTCTGTGCTGTTTAGTCCTGGTGGCTGCAGTTCCCTGCTGCCTGGAAGGCTCCCAGATGTGTGCTTTGGTTTATTTGGGCTTGAAGGGTGGCTCTTTTGGTGTCAGCATGGAAGGAAGCTGGTCTCTCCCTAGGTCACTCCTGCTACCCCAGAGAACTCATGTCACAGGTGGCAAATAGCAGCTGCACATTCATGTGCACATTCAAGCAGTTAAACAGCGTGGCCAAAACTGCGATAGTTTAGGAGTTTTCTTAATTCCAAAAAAATGTTATGACATACACAAGGCATCTAACACAGACCTACTGGCAACACAGGAAAAATGTTCTTCTACTGTTAGGAGTGTCTCATAAATGATAAGGTCAAGCACACCTCCCTGCTCAAGAGATGAGAGGAGGTTTCTACCTGAATCCAGCTGTTGATGTGCTCATTCCCAGAAGCAGAATGAATGATAACCCAGTTATTTGGAGCCCCGCTAGTGGATATATTCTTAGAAACTAGAACCTCATTTTCTCATGCTGTAAAATATCACTTCCTAGGACTGGCTGTGCAGAAATTGGATTTTGTTACTTGCCTTCAGACCTGAAGAGTACAACAGACTGATGAATATTGACTGCATTTTTTTTATTATTTTTTATTTTTTATTAAAGCGCCCTAATCTGATAATTGGTCAATTACAAATACATTGGAATTGATCACAGAGAGGAGCAGGACAGAACTTTGTACAGCTGTAAGGCAAATCATGTCTCTCAAATGAACAGTGAGGTTAGCAGTCCCACATCTGGATTTGTCCGGCTGCTTACTGCCCTTGTCCATGGCCACAAGATCCATTTCATGTACCTCTCCAGCACAGTAGCCTTCATTCACACTTGCATTTGTTGGATAACTCCTGAGTATAGCTGCAGGATGGCTCATTACATGGTTCATTACTGGTACTATCCCTGGCAAACAAACCCATGTGCTGTGGGGCATCCCTTCTGGAAGAATATACGGCTGTGTTCTGCTGAGCTGCTCCAGGATGTTATTTCATCTAATGGCTGTGGTTCGGTGCTTGAATGTATCATTGTAATGATATTTTTAATTCGGGATGTTTGAGATTTGTCCACTCATTCAGTGGTGTGCATCTTCTGGAACAAGCTTTCTAAGAGACACAGAGGTCCAGGAAGAGGTTTTTCTCCAGGGAGTCAGGAAGCCATCAGCTGTCTTGGAACATCCATCTAGGGCAGACACCAAGTCCTTCTTCCTTCACCTACGTGTCCAGCCTGGAGCTGCTCTCTCTGCGTGCTGCTGTGGGAGCCCTCAGTCCATGAGAAGGGAAGATGGTGCATGCCAGTGCGAAGGTGCAAGGTGTGTGCCAGCTCCAGGTGAAGGATCCCAGTAGCTGACCACTGCTTCAGCCAACTCAGGCTTGTGCTCCAGCTGGGCAACTTGAACCACAGAGCACCCACCACCTCTCACCCATATGCTCATGGAAACCCCTGTTGCATTACAGCCACCAAATGGCCAAGACGCAGTGTTTTCTCTACAGCATAGGGTCTGCAAGGAAAGTCAGGGTTTCCCTAAAGCAGGAAAAGATGATCTTTGAGGTCCCTTCCAACCCTAACCATTTTATGATTCTATGATTCTGTGATTCTCTCCATCCCACACTGCATCCCCAGCCATCTTGGTGAGCCAGGTGCCTGTGTTACCATGTAGACATTACTGTTGCCTTCACATTTAAGGGCTGACAAGACAGATGCATCCCAGGGTTGGTGAGCAGGTCCGTGGCCCACCCTGCCATGGTGGGGTTGTCTCTGGAGCAAGCTTGGCAGGCACAGGGGCAGCACCACTGCTGGAGGCCAGCAGCGCTTTTCAGCCCTGGGGTGGGATGCGATGGGATGAGGCTGCGGCAGGTGGGAGTGCCCAGAGGCAGGGAGCAAGTGACCTGCAGTGCTGGGGTCTGCATCAGGGTGGGTCCTTGCAGCATTTTCACTGCTGTACATGTGTGTATGGCAGTGCATCAGTTGCTAAAGACAGTGTGAGTATTTGGCAGGATTTCAACCCAAAACTTCAAGCCAGTGGGCTTGAAGGGCAGTGATTGTTGGCTGGAAGCAGACCTGTCCCCCAGCACTTTGTGGGTGCATGTCGGGGGAGAAGTCCCAATGCCCCTGGGAATATTATTGGCAGCTCCAGTGCAGCCCAGGCGGGGAGTGGAGCCTCCCAGCCAAGCGGCAGGTCTGCTCCTGCCCTGTGCTCCTCCAGGAGCTTCGCCAGCAAGGGCTTTATTCCATCCTTTCACTGGGTCCATTCACCATCACTCCCTGCCTCCTCCCCCTCTTCCCGTCCCCTCCCACCCTGCCTGCTGGATCCCCAGCAGTCTCTTGACACCTTGGGGGGAGGCTGGGAGGTGTAACCATCTCCAGCAAGAGGGAGAGCAGGAGGGAAGGGAGAAGGAAGCCAGTAACAGGGAGGTCTAGGAAGGTGGTGGAGGGGGAGGGACGGGGCCACTCCTCTGTCGGTGGGACTGCAGATTATTTTGCATGGATTGTTGAAGAGAAAAGGGAGCTGCATTTGTGAAGGGACCAAAAAATAAACAGCTCATTGCTCGGGTAAGTGCAAATGTGAGGTCCCTTGCTCTCATTGTCTGACATGCGGTACATTGATCCCTCATCCTGTTTTGCTTAGTTATACTGCTTTTGATTCTTATTAGGATTATTTGATGCATCAGCTGTATGCTTCAGTTGCTAGAGACTGGGTCTCCCTGATACGTGTGTGTGTGTGTGTGTGTATGTGTGCATGCGCGTGCATGTGGAAAGATGCCCATTCTCTGAATATACATTGACACATTTTTCCAGCTCTTAGTGCGGTGTCTCGTTTGACATACTACAGCATGCCGTACACACGCAAATTATGTTTGGTGTTACTGATTTTAAAATCTGGTCATCCATGCAATTATTGAAATAGCAAGACTGGTCGGTAGCTGAAAATTAAAGGGGGGCTCTCAAACCACAGTCCTCATTGTTACAGGGCTACTATTCTTTACCCTGAGCCTTACGTGTTCAGTATTATGTTTTATAACAAAGATACATTTAAAGATCAATTCGGCAGTGGTTATTGCATCCAAATTACATGGTTGTCATGGAGATGGTACAGAGAAGCTGAAGTGATATGACTGCATCTGGACGGGAGTGAGGCTTCACCGCCGAGTGAGATCCTGCCTTGCCTCCTGTGTCTTTTTGTCTGTGCTAGGTTACAATTTCTTTTAATCTTGAATGAAGCAGTACTGTATTAGAGGATTTAGAGGTCAAGCTGCTGTGAAGGTTGTGTTTTGCCCCTGTTCAGTGCTGTGTTATTATCGTAATTGTTATATTAGCATCTGCATCTCCCTGAATTTTCTCTATAAGTCTGGGGAGGAGGAAGGCACGAGAAGGACAGATAGTTTTCAGAGCACAGCTAGGGCTGGGAGTACTTTCTAAAAAGATACCTGCCATGCCCACACCTCCCTGCTGCCTGCCGCATATGGGGGGACAAAAGGGAAATGATTCTCTAATTTCACCCATGTTTATCTTCCATTTTCCTGCCTCAAGTTTGAAGGTACAAGGAGCGAGTCACCTGCTCATCACTGTGTCAGGAGAATGGCATTTGTTTTTTGTTATTATATTTGTTTCCTTTGCAGCTGATAATATGAATGTGTTGGCAGTTGGGAAAGAAAATCCATAATTTATGAGAATGAAATTTTCCTGCCTAAGGCTAGCTGGAATACAAAGAGTATATCTGTGAGAAGGGCATGTTATATGTTACAGATGTGTATTTCTCTAGTGGCTGGGAGTAAATCACACTATTGTGCTCATCTTCATTATTTTGGGTGTTAGGCTGGCTTTAGTCAATATTTAATCTGAGCTCATTGTGTGCTCACACAATAAACGTGCAATTTGGAGCCTAACTTTACATCTATAAAATGCTTTGGGAATGCATGTGGCATTGTGTCCATAAATGCAATTTCACCCTTTTCTGTAAGACCAAGCCTATTGTGGGGATGTAAATATAGTAAAAGGCACTGGTGGAAACAAGCCCATCTGAATGGCAGTGTTTCTCTAATTGTATCACTAAACATAAGAGAGAATTAATTACTAGGATAAACAGAGCTTTGTAGCTGTTGGATCAGGATAATATTTGCATGGAGTTCCAGGCCTGCATTATAGTAGCTAGTATTATGGCTTAAATTCCCCCCATGCCAGTAGATAATGTTTTTAGCCAGGAGCGTGGCATATTATCATTAGCTATTTTTGTATTAAAAATATGCTAAATCCCCATGTCCTTGTCAAATTGTCCATTGCAACCGCTCTAAATTGTGTGATTCAGCTAGGATTTTCTTTAACGTGATTTTTCCCTGTACGAGTCCAAGTAAACAATGGATAAAGTGAGAAAGTGGGTGGCTGAGCCCAGAGGGCAAGTCAGAGAGATGGCTGATTCACAAAATGGATGGTTCTCATTTTGTCTCTTCTTTCCCCCTAAAAGTTAGACAAAAGTTGTGTTGAAGTTGGTGGTTTTCCCTGGACATCTCCCTGGATCCCTGAGGTTGGAAGTCAAGTAGTTCTGAATCAATACTGAGTTTCCTCCATCCTCCGCACCTCATCACTCTAGAACACGGCCGTATTATTCTCTTGGGAAACTGAGGTTTGGCATGGTCATGTGTGTTTGCTAAGGTGACAGGAGGACAGAGGAGCTTTGCCAGCATGACCACCATGGTCTCTCTGACCACCAGGCTGGTTCCACATCCAGGTGGTGTGGTCCCATTTGTAGGTGCAGTGGGAGGGTGGTGGTGATGGGAAGCAGTACTGGTTCATGGAGACTAGGTGAATGGAGTAAGGGTGCTCTTTGCTGAGGCCACTCATTAGAGATGCACAGTGGGTTAGCAAGAGAGAGTCAAGCAGTTTTACACTAGCTTCTGTGGTGATTATATACTTTTCTGACCCCACCTACAGGGTAACTGAAATGAAGCCCCCTCTGGTGTCCTCATTATGTGACCCATCACATAGCTCTCCACGTGGAGTTGAATACTCAGTGCTTGGCAGGAGGTATCTGGCTTATTTCTATCTATGGTTGCATCCAGCTCTGAGTGTGAAGTCTTGGCTTTCCACTCTCCCCACTGGTGCTGCTCACAGCTCATCGCCCATACTGTAATACCCTGTATTGCTCTTCTTGACTTCAACCTATGGCCCCATCCCTTCTCTTCCCTTCATCCTATCATCTGACACCTTTCTGTACCCTTCCTCCATGGGTTTTCCCACTGATGAAGATACCTCCATCCACTGTTGCCAGAAGCTTCAGCCCATGCTGTGATTTGTATGTGCTACGCCTGCCATGAGACACATGGCACTGAGAATGTCAGGCCACCACGTTAAAGGAACTGAAGTGAAAAGTCTCATTTGAAGTCTGGAGTGCCTTCTCCATCTGTGAAGTCACCCCATACGGTGTCAGTGGTTCTGGAGTTGGTGCAGAGGGAAATGGAAAGGATTGCTCAGCTTGGACATCTGTGTGTGGCCCTGCTGACTGGCACAGTTTGATGGCATTGTCCAAAGGATGCTCTCTGGGCTGGGAGGGAGCTGCTGCTACTGCCACCAAGGTGCTGGCTATGGGCAGAGTGATTCCTGCTGAGGGAAAAGCCTGCTTGGAGGTTGCACGCATGCAGTCACCAGAGTGGGTGACCTGCTTCTGTAAATGGCCACATCTTTTGAAGTTGCTGGTTGCTCTGCTAGGTGACAAAGTCTCTGCCGTGGAGACATCTCCTTGTCAGATTTGCTGAGGGTGAAAACGTCCTCCTCACTCTTTCAGCAGGGATGTGCTGGGTCAGAGTACATCCAGACTGTCAGCAGTCAGATGGATCCAAAGGAGTGGTATCTTCCACAAAAGCTTTTCTGTGATGGTGATGGTGCAGGAATCATAGGCTAGAGGGACTGGCTCCCTCCCTCATCTCCTCTGTGACTCTGGGGAGGTGCTCACCAGGGGAGAGGCGCTTCTCCAACCTGGACATCTCACCCTTCATCCTCACTGCTGTTACTTTGTCTTCCTGCAGGAGCTCCAGGAGATGAATGGCTGAGATGCTCAGGGAGGTCCTTCCCTGCAGCCCATAATCTGGCTTTTCCGACCCTGGGCAGCACCTAGTTCTGCTCAAGTCCCAGGCAGGGATGTTAGTGATTCATTCTTTAGAGCAAACGCTGCTCCTGTCACTGGAGCAGCCCCAGTGCTCCCTTACTTGCACTGGGCAGGGCAACAGAACATGAGCTGCAGGCAGCCTGAGCAGAGATGGTGCACTGAGCCTGAACCCCTTCTTGTGCTCTCCATGCTTTTTCTGGCCTTCAGCCTGGCACTGGATGCATGGTTTTTCACCTGTCTCTTCACCACCACTGCTTATATGTCCTCCACTTCTTTCTCGTCCTCCTTCTCATTGTACTACATTCTTCCCTCATGGTTTTTCAGCTCTGTGGTACATCTTGGAGGGCCTGGCTGGTGGCTGTGGAGGAGGAAGGACTGGTAGTTGGCTCAGACTATCTGCTCTAGGGTTGTTTGAAGTTGAGCCCCACGTCCTGGGCAGGATTCATGTTTGCACTGGAACCCGGAAAAGGAGACCACATCCGAAGGCTTCCTCCCAGTGCCACTCCGAGGGGTCCCATGCAAATTGTCCAGGGTGTCACCTTTGTGGTATCACCAGCTCAGGAAGGCCTTGCATCATCTCCTCCTAGGTCCTCTTCTTCTCTGAGGCATTCTGACTGGCTCCCAACAAAGGCAATGTTGGTGTGATGCTCTGTCATTGCCACCTGCCTTGGGACACCTCATCAGGGGTCAGGGAAGCGGCAACGTTTCTTTTCAAGTAGAATGGGCACGGGATTCATCCCAGCATTTTCTGCCTTTCTCTACAGCATGGGACATGGTTTGGTTCCTAGGATTATCTCCCAAAGCCCTCGCTATGGCAAAGCCCTAGTCCACTGGTTTTGTATCTCCTGCTCTCCAGCTGAGGCACCTGGGAATCACAAGGTCCCTGGTATCTCCTGGAGCTTTAAGCATGCTGTGAGTGTGACAGGGAGCACACTGCGGGTGGGACTGGATGGGCTTTAAGTTCCCTAACAATCTACACCATTCTATGATTCTATGACTGAGAGGCTCACAGCTGGATTTGGTGGCTTAATGTGGTCACTTCCCATCCTGCATCTCCCTTCCAGGTAATGCAGCTGTACTCCTCATCTCCCCGTGGCCTTTCTGTGTCTCTGTGATGGAGAACCAACCTCTGCCTCAAAAGACAAAACTGCAAGTCTGCATTAGTAGAGTAATTCCTAGCGCTGCCCCCTTTTTGGAAGTTGGATCATATGCCCTCAGCTCTCCTGATCAGCATCAAACAGGAAAACTTATATCAGACCCAGGTGACTGATAAGCTTACAGTTCACCAACTGTACTGGAAAACCCAGAGAAAATGATGTGAGCTCAGCCACTTCTCTAGCTTCTCTTCCCCTGTGTGACAATTGTCTATTATTTTCTTGATATGAAAAAACAAATTCGACCCAAATCTTTTTTTCTGTTTTAAATCCTTAAAAAATTGTAAGATTGTAGGGGA